CTGAACAGGTTTGGGTTAACACAGAGGAGCTGTGAAGTAAAGTGTTCGTGGTTTGCCTTTGTGATATTATACAGTTCTCTCTTCCTCCAAGTATCAAACGCTTCGGAGGTTTTTCTAGTATCCAGGCAACATATTGCCTCCACTTAGCCCTTGCAAAGACCTGAATTAAAAATAGACTCTGTTTGCTGTTTGTGTGTTTGCTGTATTCTGAAACTTAAACCTTTATGTTTTAAAGGAGTCAGAGGTCCCCCTTGGCACTCAAAGGGGCAGTGGTCCTGTCCTAGCATGTTTAGGGCATATGCCAAGCCATGCAGAGGAAAGCAGAGGAGCTCAGTGTGCACAAAGCCAGCGACCCACCACCATGTCACTGGTCTGTTGGTGGTGTGCCGGAGGAAGGAAGGGAGCTTTGGCAGCTCAGAGTTTGCAGGGAAAGAATTGTTGGTTCTAGAAGTGCAATCACCAGCACTTCACACAGAAGGTTCTTTCTGTCATCATGATTTGCTAATCTCATCAGAGACACCCCAGGTAGCATTTCAAAGTGTTCTTTCACAGTTTCAGAGTACATCTTGCTCAATATTAGGATGTGCCTAATGTCCAGTGGGGAAATGTCAGGTGATGAGGATTTTATTACTGAAGGCATAAGAAACTGCATGCCACTGTGCATAGCATTTCTACAAAGTAGACAGGATGCTCTTTTCTATTTTTTTAATTGACAAGTAAAAATTATATATATTTATTGTGTACAACACAATGTTTTGAAATATGTATACACTGTGGAATGGCTCAGTCTAGTCAGTTAATTGAGGTAATGTGCATTTCCTCACATAGTTATTTTTTGTGATGAGAACACTTAAAATCTACTTTCTTGGCAATTTTTAAAATATGACAGTTGTTATTAACTGTAGTCACCATATTGTACGATAGATCTCTTGGACTTCTTCCTGCTATCTAACTGAAATTTTTTCCTTGGACTAGTGTCTCTCCAAGTCCCCAGCCCCCAACAAGTGCCTGGTAACCAGTATTCTACTTCAAGTTCCATTTTTTTAGATTCCATATATAAGATGCTTTTTAATGATACCCAAATTCATTAATATTAAAGCATTTAATTTTTACATAGACCTAAGGAAGGAGGAAACTTTGAGGTGTCATTCCTAGCGTGTCAGCAAAATACCACCTTTCGTTATTAGTCCCCCTTTTACCAGTGGCGACATTAATGATGGTGTTTGTAAAGGTTTACCGAGAAGTTTACAAGTTTTTCTTTGGCTTACCCATGGGCAGGTATAATTAGAAACAAATAAAAATGTTTACCCTTTTTTCGTCAAAAGGAATGGCTCTCTCAGAGCTTTTGCTTTGTTGAGGTCAAACATCCAGACTTAAAGGAGAACTTCCAACTTTGATTCTAGGCTCATTTTGCAAAAACGGATATGGAGGCAGCCTGGGTTTGGCAGTCAGACTCCATCACACACTAGCAGAGGAACTTGGGCAAGTCACTTAAGCTTGTTGAGCCTTAAATCCACCCCTGTAAAATAAGAACAGTTGTTACTATGTTGCATGGTTCTTGAAAGGGTCAAATGAGTGAGGAGATTCTGACTTTAGGTGCAGTGGAGTATAACTTGGGACCCTGGAGCCAGCCCCCTAGAGGTGAGTCCCAGCTTCACCTTTTCAGTAGCTGTGTGACCATAGAAATTGCTAAACCTTCCTGAGCCAGTAGAACTCGTAAGAGTGCCCACCTCATAGAGTTGTGAAGATAATAGGGTTAATATAACCAGAAAGCACGTAGGACAGTGCCTGCCATTTAGTGGTAAACACTACATTAGTATGTGCTATGATTATGATAGATTATAGTCATAATTGTTGTTATCCATACATCAAGGGCAGGCGTCCCCAAACTTTTTACACAGGGGGCCAGTTCACTGTCCTTCAGACCGCCGGAGGGCCGCCACATACTGTGCTCCTCTCACTGACCACCAATGAAAGAGGTGCCCCTTCCTGAAGTGCGGCGGGGGGCCGGATAAATGGCCTCGGGGGCTGCATGCGGCCCGCAGGCTGTAGTTTGAGGATGCTTGATCAAGGGTCTGGCATAAATTAGTTGGTCAAAAAAGATTAATAACTACTTTTTATTATTTATTTCTCCCATCAGAGCACCTGAATTTTAAATGCTCTGAAACTAATATTATTATCAGTCTGTTTTTGATTTAACTAAATATATAATAGCAGGATTCTTTTCAAAATCTTACCCCTCAGGGACTCAAAAGTTAACCTTATACCATAGGAGAAAGATTTTTTTCTTAGAACAAGAGCATGTATTTGCTCCTCACTCCAGACCTTTAGAATCAGAAATTCTGGGAATATGACCGTCATCTGTTTTGGCAAGTGTACCTAGTGATTCTCATGCTCCTAAAGTTCGATAGGTGTAGACTAGTCACAGTTTTGACTACCTTCTGTCACCAGGGTGGAGACAGCAAAGAATTGGATACTCCGTTTGGCAGGTTGTTCCAGCCCAAGAAGTGTTAAAATGATGTTTTCGTGAGTTAAACAGATACAGGTAGTTCTGGAAAGCAGGGTCAAGGGTGCGGTACAGGGGGTGAGAACATTAGGACAGCTTGTGAACCTATTGACAGATCTGGCTTAGAACAATGTGGCATAACGGGCCCTCTGGAAAGTGCTCGTGTCACCTCTTGTGCCTTACCAGTCTGAGTGACACATGGGAGAAGAGATGCGTTTTGAATTTTTATGCAAGGTTAAAATGAGAAAAATCCATTTCAGCCTTCAAAAGCCAGAGCTACTGGTACAAAAGGTCACTGATGCCAATTGGTGGCATTGCAGAGCTCAGAGAGGGAGTATTAAAAGAGCAGACTTTTTTTTTTTTTTTAAGAAACACTCAATGCACTGTGGGCTTAAGTCTCAGACTTTTGCCATCTTGCTGCCGTAGGAGCTTAAATAAAAAGTCATGTGAAAAAAGAAAAACACAGTCATTTTTCTACTGCCTGAAGGGTCAAGGATGTAGACAATTGTCCTCACACTCAGGATGACATAATATTTATGGTGGAATAAGCAAAGTGATGAAATGATGCCTCTGTGGGAAAGTAGTCATCCTTACTTGTGTCTGCAGGTGACTGATGGTACCAATTGAGCATGGCCATTTCAGGTGAAGTTAGTAAGTACTGACTGGAGACCTACCCTGTTCTAGATATAGTCTGTTTGGAGGTCAAGTTTGAATAACTGAAAATTACGGTGCCTTGGGAAATGAAGCCAATTTCAAAGGTGGTATGGAGAGGATATAAGGTATTAATTTGGCTCTGTGTATACTGCATTTGTGTTGACAGAACAGCATCCCAATTGATTGAAAAGAATCTGTGAGTCATATGAATAGAAACAGTATTTGAAGCCATCGAGAATGGATTGATTACCAAGGTGATTAAGGAGACCTGAGGATAAAAGATCAAATTCTGGGGACACTGCAGTTATAGCAATATAATATGAAAGGCCAGTGATGAAGTGACAGGAGAGACTATCAGAGAAGCTGGAAGTGGGCCAGGCACAGTGGCTCACGCCTGTAATCACAGCACTTTAGGAAGCTGAGGTAGACAGATCACCTGAGGCAGGAGCCTGGCCAAGATAGTGAAACCCTGTCTCTACTAAAAATACAAAAATTAGCTGGATATGGTGGTGCATGTCTGTAGTCCCAGCTACTCAGGTGGCTGAGGCACGAGAATTGCTTGAACCCAGGAAGCAGAGATTGCAGTGAGCCAAGATCGCACCACTGCACTCCAGCCTGGGTGACAGGAAAAAAAAAAAAAAAAATAGAAGTAGCTCCAGGATGATACTCTATCATAGAAGTCAAGAAAAGAAATTTTTTCAAGAATAGACATTTGTTCTCTGGTGTTTAAAGCATGAAGAAATAAAAAGATATAAACCATGTAGGCAGGTAAGGATGGGTCTTAGATTTGCTAAGTAAAAATATTAAATCAAAAAGTACCTTTCCTATAAAGTAAATGATCTTTATTGCATTTTTTCAAGTCAGGGTTTCTTAACCTCGGCATTATTGACATTTTGGTCTGGATGACTCTGTGGTGGGAGCTTTCCTATGCGGCATCCCTGGCCTCTACCCACTAGATGTAATGCCACCAAAAACCAAAAAATGTCTTCAGATATCGTCAGATGTCCCTGTTGAAGAACCACTGATTTAACTATTTAATTCCTACCATGTATGTGGCACTACATTAGGCAGTGCAAGGCGTGAAACATATGACACACTTCACCGTAAAAAAATACATTCTAATTGTCCTAAATTGAGTTATTCTGTTATTTCTCCTATTATCTTGTTAAAACTATGCATGTGTATGCTTATATACAAAAACACACACACATACATATACACATATATACTGTAGTTATTCTCCAAGTTAACATTACATCAGCTCAATTATGGGATGATATTAGAAAAGTGGTAAATTGGAAATGTTAGTGTCCCCACTGCTGTATGTTTTAGCACAGATTAATGTAAGAAATTATTATGGATCCATGGTGAGACTAGGAAGCAACTTCCCAATTAAATTGTTTGTGTACTCCAAAGATTCAAATTATTTTTTACTCTCTCAGTCCTTATGAAGACAAAATACTCTTATGAATTTATATACATGTTATTAAAGTTCTTATTTTTTTAAATGTGAGTGTGCCATTTGTCTTTAGGTAGAAATTATAATGCTATTTATTATTCTTCAAGTTTCTGAGTTCTTAGGAAGATAGATGATTGGATTATAGTTTGACCATTAAGCATTTATAAGGAAGATTATCACAAAAAAAATTTATGAAAAGAGGCTTATTATTTAGAATAGATTCCGCATCAAAAGAAGCAACTTACCTTGTCGAACCTCAGTCTCGTCATTGTTTCTGAACGAGAAGGAGGATTGAACCCCGCTCTCTTATTTTGTTTCCTGTGCCGTCTAACAAGGCCCTAACTGTTAAGGCTAATGCTGAGACCCTTGTTTTCTTTGCAGACTGCTTCATCTGCTATTAAAGGTGCTATTCAGCTGGGAATAGGATATACAGTGGGTAATCTCACTTCCAAGCCAGAACGAGATGTTCTTATGCAAGACTTTTATGTGGTGGAAAGTGTGTTCCTACCCAGGTAAGAACATTTTTATTTGTGATGATTTCCATGCTAAGGAACCTTCTTTGTGGCAACCCCATACTGAAGGGCTTCTCTACTTATGTACATGTTTACATGTACAGATGCAAATATTGGGCCTTTGGCAGGGAGAAAGGCAGCCCAAATGATGTTTATTTCCTGTTTCATCAGGATACTTCCTGGCAATTTTTTTGTGGAGATGCTGAATAGGTTTCATCTATGAACCAATTCTAATTAGTTGTGATGAATGACTGAAGACCATATGGAGAAAGATTTTGAGGTTCAGTGTGTAAGAGTGAAGTAATCACAGAGTGATGTCTGCCAAGGGGTTAGAGAAGGAAGGCTTCCATGAAGCAGCAACTGGTGCTGCTGGGTTTTTGCTGTTCCTGATTTAAAAGCATGGGCTGGTAGGCCCACAACTGGGCCTCAAATCTGAGTCTAGTCTTAAGTCTTCTCTTTTATGATGACTTTAACTTAACTTTCCTCCAGAAAACATAGAGAATCCTGCTGTTTGCAAAAATACCAAAGTTACTCATACATGTTATGTTGTCTCCAGCTTTTATCATTTTAAGGTGAGGAGATTAATTATTTAAAAACAAATATATCTGGAAATGAATGATGGTAGTGTGAATATATTAACGCCACAGAACTGTAGACTTAAAAGTGGCTAAAGTAGTAAATTTTATGTTGAGTGTATTTTATCACAATAAAACTAATTAATTAAAAATTCTATTACTACCTTCGTTTAGGAAGAGAAGAAGTAATCATTAAATGAGAAATGTCACCACAAGTGACAGAATTTTTCAAATGATCTGGAAAATAGAAATAAAGATAATTTATTTGGGGACTTGGAGATAATTATTTTGTCTTTGGAGCTGTGAGAATTGATTTTAACATTTTAAAATAAGCTCTGTTATTACAGGCTTGGGTAAACATGGCTGAAGTGACACTTTGTTTACCACTAGTGTACTCATCACCTTATTAAAAATATATGTGTATCTTTAGAAGAATTATATTTACACATTTATCTCTGTGTCCAGGTGTCAACTGCCTAAAAACAAAATTCGTATGTGCATGTGTGGTAACCCCTACATAGTCACCAATGAGCAGAGCTCATAAAATTTTGAAAGTCAGTTACGTAGTTTTGTCTTAAATGCTCTTAGCTGCAGAGTAAAGTTGGCCTACGGGCCTTTTGAAGTCTGCTTGTCTAGGGTCATCTAGCAGCCATGAGAATCAGATTCCAGACAGAAAATGGACAACCCCAAGGCCCAAGATAGAATCCTTGCTCATGATCCTACTCTTGTTTCTATCGTTGGAAATGTCCTCTGTGTTTGTTTTTAACGGTCTATCATTGCCCTCCCAAAAAGTGTGTATTAACTACATGTTTTTCTCTTGAAAGTCGGGGAATGATGAGATTGTCTTCGTCTTTTGGTATGAATTTTTTAGGCTCATAATGCTTGTAAATGTGTTTGCAGGATGTTTGTTTGAGCTCTCATAGTCTCTGAAGGGCTCTACCCAGACATTTCAACTTTGTTGTTCTTTGGCTACACAGAACAAGAGAAATGGAGGGCTTTTGTGGGAGTGTGGACAGTGAGTTGAGGGTGCTGAGATCATTACAGCTGAAGGTGGGGGTATAAAGATATTCCAGGTCTTCCCGCATCGTCGCTGACTGACCTGGTCTACTTCCAGTGTCCAGTCAACACAGCCAGCCGTTGACAAGACACTTGGGGAAAGAGTGGCCCAGGCGTGAGGTCCCAGATCCTAAGCAGCAGCACACCTGGACCTTACTAGCCATGCAGATTCTTGGGCTCCACCCACACCAACTGAATTAGAAATCCTGTGGGTGAGAACCAGGAATCTGTTTTAACAAGCCCTCAGGGTGATTCTCAGCATGGAAAAGTTTGAGAACTACTGGCCTAGTCCATGACTTTCCTCTTGAGAGAGAGAATCTTTCTGGCAGATAACAAATTTTGTTCTTGGAGTTATTACACGACTCTTACAACTAATAAAACTCAAAATTACTTTAAATAAGCATCTTAAATATCGAAATGGCATCTCTTAGCACTTTGTGTCTTTGGCCTTGACTGTCATCCAAGGTAGCAGCAGCAGGTGAGTCACTGGCCGAGGAGTAGCTACCTAACTCTCCCTTACTTAGAGGTATCTGTTGCCACATTTAAAATATAGCACTTTAGAGTATCTGCAGCCTTTACATGGCAATACAATATTTAACATTTGATTCATTTGTTTTCTTATTTTTTTTTAAATGCAAATGAATTATTGTCCCGGCTTGGCTCTATGTCCTGGACTCAGGCTCCCACGCCTCCATGGCAAGCGCGCCGGCCTCAACATTTGAGTCAGACCAAGAATTTCTTTCAGCAGATGCTATCTTGTTTGTTTAAGTAACACAGGCACTTCAGATGGATTTACAGTAAACAGAAGAAACTTACGTTAGTCTTGCCTCCATTTCCTCGTCTGAACTCAGTGTCTTCATGGATTTAGTAAAGAGATCTGGCCCAGTGTTTCTCAATGGAGGTGCTATTGACTTTGTTGGCTAAGACAATTCTTTGTGCAAGACAGTAAATTTCAGGAGATCTGTGGTCCCCAGGCCCTGCCAGTAATAGCTCCTAGTTGCTGTAGCAATCAAAAAACCCCTACAAAGTGATGGATAAATTTAGTATCTTGATTGTGGTGGTTTCACAGGTGTATATACACATGTGAAAAATTAATAAATTGCATATTTTATTGCATGTCAATTAAACTGGAATAAATGGGTCAAATAATGCTTTCTTTCTCCAAGTATTTCCAAGCCCATAGAGGGATGAGGAAAGGGATAGGTGGGCAGGACAGGCCCTGGTTGTAAGCATGCAAACATTCTGCGGTCTCTGTTGGCTCCAAAACTCAGTGAGTCTAACTGAGCCATAGAATTAATTGCTTGAGGTACCTTGAGATGTTTTCAGTTATTGCTCTCTGAAGTTACAGAATCCATTTCCCCTAGCAACCAAACACGTTGTGCTTGATCTTATTTATATATTTTGAAGTTGCTCAAAGTTATTTTTAAATATTAAGTACATTATCTGTACTATGAATTATTTCATTTTGTAGATGTATAAAGCTTTTTTAAGATTTGAAAAAGAATATAAAAATCTCTTTTAACTGTCTAGCTCTATGATCTTCCAAAATGTGTTCCAAAATCTCAAAGTAGATAAGTAAGAAAATCGTAATCATATCTTAATCTTTTGACCCCAAATTCTGTGTTGTGATCAGAAACTCAAGGTTTTAGACAGGCTTCATGCATTGATAGGATAAAGAAGAAAGAGGATGGTTTATAATGTTTGTACCATGTAAACAAGAACCTGAGGTGGCAAAGAGAGGCAAAATTTGTAAGTACCAACTGTGAACCAAGCATAGTTTTATTCATATAGTAAATTACTTATGTAATATATATTAATTTTTATTATCTATTATCTTTACAAAAATGCTATTTGATGTGTTAAATAATTTGGCCCTAAGACATTAAGTCACTTAGTCCAAGGCTATCCAACCAATAATCTTGGTAAAGCCAAGATTTTAACTCAGAGTTAGCTGGCCCCAAAGTTTTGTTTTTCTCTACATTGTGGCAATAATGCATGGGAATTGTATTTGTGCTTTGTTGAATCAGAACAATGCCCAGCTTTTATCTTAGAATTATGGACCTCAGTCTGCTTCTTTGTTCCCCTAAAAACCAGCTCTAATTTGTTATTCTCCAGGAGTCACTATCACTACCTTACCTGGGGGTGGCAAAAAATGGTTTAAAAGCTAGTGGTAAAAGTTTAAACGTCTTTCCATGTTCAAGGATAATTATCCAGCTGAGGAATTTTTAAAGTCCCTATATTTTAATCTCTTCATTTGTAAAATAGGAGTTTAGCTTGCTATAAAGATCATTACAGAAAACAGACTGCCTTTGGGTGTGATTCATGTGCACTTCAGGATTTATTTGGACAGTCAGGGAATACCCACCTTTTGGAAGAGAATTCCAATAAATTACAGCAAGGGTAAAACATATCCTAAATGATAAGCAAACATATATGTCAAAGGTTCATATAAAATATTGCCACATATTATCATTCAATGTTTGACAAACTAGCCAACTGCCTGCATTTCAAGGCATACTGACATAAACTTATCCAAAAGTCTGTCTTATACCAGGGATTCCCCAAGCCCTGGGCATCGGACCAGTGGGAATCTGTGACTTGTTAGGAACTCAGCTGGACAGCAGGAGGTGAGCAGAGGGCAAGTGAGTATTCACACCCAAGCTCAGCCTCCTGTCAGATCACCTGGGGCATTAGATTCTCATAGGAGCACAAACCCTATTGTGAACTGTGCATGTATCGGATCTAGGTTGCATGCTCTTTATGTGAATGTAATGCCCGAGGATCTGAGATAGAATGGTTTCATCTCGAAACCATCCCCACTTCTCACTGTCCATGGAAAAACTGTCTTCCACAAAACTGGTTCCTGGTGCCCAAAGGTTGAGGACCACTGTCTTATCCCATGGGTCAGCACTCAACAGCCCATGGGACAGGCCCTGCTTTCTGCCTGTTTTTGTCAATTAAGTTTAATTGGAATAAAGCCACATCCATTCATTTACAAATTGTCTGTGGCTGCTATTCTATAATGGCTGCAGAGTTAAGCAGTTGCTACAGAGACTTTATGTCCCACAGAGATCAAAATAGTGTCTGGCCCTTTATAGAAAAAGATTGCTAAGACTGGGTGCAGTGGCTCACGCCTATAATCCCAGCACTTTGGGAGGCCGAGGTGGGAGGATTGCTTGAGCTCAGGAGTTTGAGAGCAGCCTGGGCAATATAATGAGACCTCGTCTCTTTATATTTAATAAAAATAATAAAGAGAAAAGTAAATGAAAAAGATTGCCAACTCCTGATCTATGCAAACATTCTGCACCAGTTTTTATGTACGTGTGGGTAGAACACAAAGCTGCCAGCATAGTCTACTTGGGAGAAAAT